TATATTTTTTAATGTATATATCTATCTAAATGTCTCTTGCCCCCAGGTGTTTTATGCTGTAATTTGCCAGCCTTATATATCCAGTACCTAAGCTGCTTGTAGGATTGCTCCCAAGCACGTAAGTGATACAAATTAGCTTGAGACTTTGTATAATGATCTAGGTAAACAAAGACTTGTTTTGCCAAAAGGACGCTGGGATTTTTGTGCAGGCACTACACACACAGGTGACAAAATAATAATTATTTTTGACCAGCATAGCTGCAGGGAACATATATGTATTTCTACAACTACCTGAAAGGAGGTTGTAGTGAGGTGGGTGTTGGTTATTTCTCCCAAGTAGTTAGCGACAGGACAAGAGGAAATGGGCTCAAGTTGCGTCGGGGGAGGTTTAGATTGGATATTAGGAAAAATTTCTTTACTGAAAGAGTGGTTGAGCATTGGAACAGGCTGCCCAGAGAGGTGGTGGAGTCACCATCCCCGAGGTGTTCAAAAAACGGGTAGACATGGCACTTTTGGACATGGTTTAGTAGACATGGTGGTGTTGGGTTGATGGTTGGACTGATGATCTTAGAGGTCCTTTCCATCTTTAATGATTCCTAGTTTTACTTTCATTAAAAAACTAATCCAGCCACCAAGCCAGGAAACATGAAATTAATTATTACTCTACCCTTGATTGGTTTAGTGGTGGACTTGGTAGTGTTAGGTTAATGGTGGGTCTGGATGATCTTAAAGGTCTTTTCCAACCTAAATGATTCTATGATTCTATGTGATATACACTTAACCTAAAAGAAGCCAACCTCGCTAGAGCAGTTTTTGCAACAAATGCAGCCATCAAAATATAAATTAATCTTTAATTGGTTGATTACCTTTAGCACTCTCATTGAAGGTCTTACCTATCATATTTCCTATGATGCAGCATTCATCATTAGCAATAAAACAGTAGAAGAGTGGCAAAGAGCTACTCAAAGTGATGTCCTCCACTGCCAGTCCTACTAGTAGCAAAAAATCCCAACCTAATGATTCTCAAACACCTTAGGGCTTGTCCCCCAGAATGACGATTCTCACAGTCTGCCTGCACAGTCAGTACAGTACAGATCTGCTCTCCTGGCAGTCCTAAGGCAATTTGGAGAACGAGAAATGGAAAACAAGATGGAGGGTTGAAGAGACACTTACTCTTTCTCTTTGCTTTCTTTTTCCACTTGAGTGAGACATTCCCATTTTTCCTCCCACTTCTTCCTACACATCACAAGGACCATGTCTGTCTTTATCTGTATGGTGAACAGCAAGGCATGAATTTAGAATGCTTCATAAAGGGATGCTAGTCACAACCACAATGAATAAGGTTAGTTTATAACATAAACCTCTTTCACTTGCAAATTCCTGAAACATTTATCTCAGCTATTGATTATTATGTAGCATGTAGAAATTATAGTATGTACTCAGCTTCAGTGTACAAAGTGTTAACCTCATTGTGGACAATTTAAATGGTGTGATTAATATAATACTAGTACAGTACTATAGTACCAATATGGAAGAACATACAGTGCTGCAGAAACACCATTCAGTTATTCTCAGGATGCTAAAAGTACCCAGGACTGTCAGGTAAAGGGTTCCTATATTTACTAGACTTCTCCAAGAACACCAAGTTCAGGTAGAGCTCTCCCAATTTATTTATCGAAGGATAAGAAAGTAGTTTTAGGGCATTGCTTAATCTTGCAATATGTTTGCAAGTTAAAAGCAAAGCCTGTTTAATTGCAACCCTGACCTAAATTTCGCAAAGAACTCCTGCGTGCCACAGCAGACAAGAGTCTGCTGGAGCTTTAGCTTAGCAAGAATGTGATCACTGCTTGCTTTTACGCCATGTTAAAAATCACCAGAGCATCACCCTCATTTATTTCAGTTGTTTTAATTTACACTGTCCTAGTTTTAGGGCAATTTCAAATTGAACTATCATTCTTTACCTCTGATGTCACTAAGTGCAGTGCACAACTGCAGAGAATGCACACAAGGTATTTGACACATCCCTAAGCCCAGAAAGGTGCTACAAGTAGCACAGTAAGGACACCATCACCAGTTGCAGTCATCAGCAGTAGAATGTTACTAGTGTTCAATCCTGGAGCAACACACCCTTACAAAGGCAGAGCAGGTTTCCAACTTTGCTTTGGGTCTTAAGCCTATTTAAGCTTCCCAAGATTTGGGCCTGCTGACAAGTCTCTTAGACCTTAAAATTGCAAAGAATTTCTCAGAGGTATTTGAAAGTACAGGGATGCAAATGGATGCTTAGTGGAACTTTCTGCTTAATTATTTCTGAAATCCTGTTGGAGAGCTATTAGAAAAAGCGTACAATATCCAGACATAATCTTTTGAAATAGGAGCCCATGGATTCCAAAGAATAATTCCACAGTTATGACAATTACAGATGAATAAGAATCATGTTCACAGTGAAGAGACTTTACAGACAGAAGGGAGGGACTGAAGGTTAGCACTGCATCTCTTGAACTATAGTCAGGCAATGAACATGGTACTTTGTAAGGGACCTAAATATCTCTAACAGCCGAGGTGCACTGACCTTTCTAGAGCTGCCCTCTGCAGAGATGGGTTTCAGGAGATTGTTGAAGGTCATGGTGTAGTTCTTCCCATTCAGATTCTTCACAAGCAGATCGAATGACCTGGAAGCAGAAAGTGGGGGAAGAAGGGCACACATATTCCAATCATTGTAAGACTATTGTGCCTTGCCACAACAAACAATGTCTGAAGGCCCTTTAGCAGACATATTTATTTGGAAAGCATGTCAACAGGCCTGTATTACTTTCTTCCCAGGGCTCTCAAATCTTTAGTTGGATTTAATACTGAGGACTTAAAAGGACCTGTCCAGACTTTGCAACACATCAAAATCTCTAGGGTTCTTTCTATCTTACTGATCTCCTACAAACTTGGAAAGGCAGATTTACTTAATGTACAGTTCAGTTCTATCACCATCAAAAAACAGGGCTAACACTACATATCCTGTCAAGCGTGATGAGGTGCAAGAAGTGTTTGTAAAATGAAAATACCCCGATACCCTCTAAGGAGAGCGATACTTAAGGGTATGTGCTAAGTGCTACTAAAAGCTAATGCTGGTCAAGTTTAAAAAAAGAAAAAAAGGGGTTGGCGGGGGGGTAAGGGCTAATCCAGAACAG